CAGACAACCTCTCGTCAATATGCGTTTTTTGCATTGCATTGCTGCAAAAAACGCATAAAAATTAAAAATATCCTATTGTAAAAACAGGAGCTGACATATTTTTAACATATGTTTTTAGGCACTCTACCTCTTTTTTTTAAAAAAATAAACCATGCTAAGTTGCTTTCTGGAAGTGTTTGTTGAAACTTACTCTAATATTTTAAGTATTTTAGGAAGTGGCTAATGCAATGCATTTTATGAGAAAAAATTTCACTGCACTGAAGAAACTGCAAAACTTAGCTAAATCAGCGGATTCTCGAGAACTCGTGAATGCATTGCCATCTGTGGGTCGTACTCGAATGTCGAAAAAACCCCCTACGAAAGACGACTATGAGACTATGGGTGATGAGCCAACTGCTCGTGAAGAACAGGCAACACACGCATATTATGAAGAAGAAGAAGGGATGACAAAACGCCTAATTACGCCTCAGGTGATTTTTATGCGTTTTTTGCATCTATGCAATGAAAAAACGCATATTGTCGAGGGGTTGTCTGCGTGTGTGTGTCTGTATATGTGTGTGTATGTGTTTGTCTGTGTGTGCGCTGTGCGTCTGTACCGATTTTTCGTCTACAAAAGCTACAAGGCTGAAATTTTGGGAACTTAACCTACATGCCTATGCGGGCCCCTATCATCAAAATTGACACTCTTGTGCACGTGATTTTCACGTACAGGCCTATGAAAGATTTTTGCGGGTAGGTTACTAAATTGGGAACCTGAAAAGCTAGAAAGCTGGAATTTTAAGGGAATGTTTTCTCTAGCCATGGTGAGCAGACTCAGTACTTTTAGCTAGAAGCATCTGCCGGAACAAAAGTGCCATTAGTGACAAAAACTTATGGGGGACTGTGCAAAAAAGGCATCTTCCCATCGGCAGTCGATGCGCTGGCTAATTATTCTTCGTTGAGATTATGTGGCTTGTATGCTAAAATTAGCTGCAGTTTCTTAAGAGTATGAATTTTCATGAACAATAAATCTTAATCGAAAATATTTTGGTATTTTAAATAGCTACTAGCCGAAATTCTGTCAAGTTTTTTTACGTTTATCCCGTGCATACGGTTAATCTTAATTCCTTTAAGATGCTTGATTTGCTGCTCTTTCAATTTTCATTTTGCTGCTTGCAGATTGAGAAAAATAAGGGGTTACAAAAGAAACGAAAAAGTGGAACACAGCATTCACGTGTGAAAAAGAGAAAGCAGTACAAGAAAGCACTGATAAGAAGACGCTCCCAGATACCGGACGTACGCAGCACCAACAAACCATACGATGGTGAAGCACGAGGAATTCGCGCATCGGTTGTGAAAAGTATCAAGTTGAAAGCTTAAGTTGTTGTATGAGCGTTGCCTTTGTTGTTGTTTTTTCATTAAAAATCTGCATTATACTGCTTTTTTTACAACCCTTTCTACACTCCTCTTCTCCCTCCAGTCCTTTTGTCCTTTTCCTACGACACAAACTTGTAATCAACTTTAATGCATAATGGTTTGGGGGCTGTACTGATGATTCCCGTTCCATACCACATCCACATCATATACTGTCTATGTTTGCAGCTTAGGGATGAAAACACAGACAGCAAAATCTACATATTACTTTTCACATACTCTTAATACATGTCCCATATCTTTCTCACAAAATATGCACCTATACAACTTTGTTTTTCTTTTCTTTCCCGCACTTCGAAAAATCACTTACAATAAAAAAACTTTCAGTAGCCGACCACAACTAAACTCTTTGTTTTCAATGAAGGAGAAATCTGAGGTCTGACTCGAACACAGTCTGAGCTTCAGCTATTTTACAAGGCGTTGGCTACACTGCATGAATTAAACCGTACTCACATTTTTTTTAATGCAGCTAGAATTGCTCAGTTCTTTTTCCGAATGTTAGGATCAGATTTATCAATATTTTTACATTCTTGGAGGTTTTTCCCAGAGTTAAGAATCAATTTTATCGACATTCTCACACGCCAGAAGCAGTCATGTCAGGCTTTTCAATACTCAATTTCATATCCCATTCCGTACTCAGTGCGTGTTCAGTATATTACTTCTCATAGAAGCCCTCCCTTTGTCTTTGAAAAAATTTTCCATTTGCAAGGTATTTCTTGTCGAAAATAACAAAAATATGCCTTATTATTATTTTTGACACCAATTACAAGTTTAAATTGTTAGCTGATAGGTTTCAGACAGCAATTTAATCTCTAAAATCAGCGTCATTTGTGCCTAAAGTTCGACGGCGTTCTAGAAAATTCGGCGTCGCATGACATTTAATCTACTAAAGGTTGAAAAGAAAATAATGAAGTAGAAAAGATGAAAAAGGGAAAAAAACGAAAAAAAGCGAAGTAAAAAGGGGGGAGGGGGACTAAGGAAATATTTGTAATAGATAAGAAAGTCTGATCTACAA